AGTTTAAGCCGCTTTCAGCAATTTCAGGAATAATATACCAGCAATATCACGGCAGTGAGTACTAGAAAATCGAAGTCAATAGTTATTTCAAAGGGACTACATTATAGAATATAGATAGACATACGCGCGTGTGTATTTCCGTAGAAGACAATTTCGAGTTTATAAGATATGACTATGACTATTTAGTTATTTCAAAGAGAATATATTAATGAATACGTATGTTTGTGTGCGTGCGCACGTGCATGTATTTTTTCCCGTATGAGACAAATTCGGATTTATACACCTTTAAAATAACCTCAAACATCATGTCCTTATCGTGAAACTTCTAAACACGCCATAACAGCGGAATCCCTGTCTCTCTGCACTATAAATCCTTTTCAAAACAGTTCACGTAGTTTTTTCCTGACCTACAACGACACATTCTCCATCGTGGAGCCAGCATACACTGCTACGGCGTCCCTAGGGGTCGCTACTGTCATCCGGCAGTCGTGATCAAGTATACCGTGAGCCTACTGTATTATCCGCCGACAACGATGTCACAACAAGCCTCCCGTAGGACCTCTAAAAGAGATCCAGGAGTATCTTGTAAAGTGTTATGAGGACCGAGAAAAGCTATGGATGGTCTTACAGGCAATACAAACCCGGGCTGACTCACCGACAGCTGAAACCTGATCTCACCCAGCTCACTCAAGTGTCAAAATGTCTTAAAAAAATTACGTTTGATGTGTCACAATGAGCTAGTGGGCCTCTGATGCTGGACAAGGTGTTCGCCGATGCAACATGTGGAAACCGCCTTAGTATTGATCCTCTCTGGAATATTCTTTGATAAAAATCACAAGTGCCGAATGTTTTGATTCTATGATAAATTACCTCGCATATTGCACTCGAGTAAATCCTCTAATTAAGTAAAATAATGGGTTTAGATTGAGCCTTTAGTCGCAAAACCTTATTAAAATTTTACGTTGTCAATTACTTATTTAGCCGTCGGCTATGCTAGGTAACTTTTTAAATCTTTCATAATCATGTACTTCTTTATCCATCTATCTAACAGTTTTGCCCGGTTCATTGCATCTGGAAAGGTTCGGTCTTTTGGGATTAAGAACCGCCCATTTTTTGTCTGGAGGAGATGTGTTTTGCTATGATGTGATCCGACATTTTTATTGTTCACCAGCCATGGATTTGCTCAAGCCGTGTTCATTATGTAAATCAGTTGAGGTTTTGAGCTGCTGTTATAGCCCCTGATTGACTGGATGAATGAGTTACACATAAATCTTCCCATTCATCTTATCGTTCACTTTGATATACATCATCAAGCCTGCAGCGCCCCCCTGGATATACATACATAGCGAGCACTTTCTAAACCGGACTTAAACATTACACTTCATATTTTGTATAAAAACTAAAATTGCTCTCCGACCAGATTCAGTCCACCAGTTGGTAACGACAATTAATGATGCTATACTATCCTTACGATCCTTGGCTGATCCTTCATTAATGCTTTACCACCACCCGTCCCTGCTTTTCCGAGTAAAGTACAGGTTCTTGTACTGTGGTGGGTTGAGTCCCTTCGGTCTATATAGAATCTTTACTTAAAGGTCACATGCAACCCAAAAATCAAACATAATTAAAACACAATTATCACTTCTTCATGACATATAATATGCATTGCTGATTATGAAAAAAAACAAATAAACAAAATTATAAGCGTATAATCGCAAATCAAAAGTGCAATATTTTGTACTTGGGTTTACCTCCCTCGAAACGAAGCAGCCGGGACACCGAACCCAGTCAGAGCGGGTGGGTGTGCACTCAAGTGTAACGGCTGGTTCATTAGCAGATGCCGCCTTCACGGCTCATTGTGTGTGTATATATAGAGATGTTGGGTTTTGTAAATACATGCTCATTTTTTGTGTATAACATTTTGCAATCAACAGACATCATAACATGTCATGTGTTCAAGTATCACACCTGCCTGTCTGTGTAATTACATAATGTGACAGAGACCGAACTCGGGCCATAAATCAATGCGTTTTGTTTATGGTGTATAGCCTGATTGGTGTTAAGTTCAAATTGCATGTGGTCAGTGATCGCAGTTGTGTATTGAATATTGTCATTAGCAGACAGGCAGGCAGACACACAGGTGTCAATAAAACAAGACATTGAGTTTTGTCTGTGACAGCGACATATCTATATCACAGTTAGAAATTGTGTCAACGCTAAATAATGACATTGCTTTTAAGTATCGAACTGAGAAAGTGACTCGGTAAAAAGAACGTGTGGTGAAATAGACCAATGAAATTATATAAACAGTTTATTTACTGTCATAACATATAAAAAAGCTCGCGCCTGTGAGATATCAACAAAACATTATGAAAATAGCTCACACCAAAACCTTCACCGAGTATTCACCAGACAGCCCGCTTCCAAGTTGCGCGAACCTATTTCACTGCGCACGTGCTATGAGCGCAGCCCAGCTGTTGAAACCCGTATTCCCCAGAAAAGTCTGGGGAAAATTAGTGAAACGTTTGAACTCCGATTTCGCGCGTTTTTTTTCATCGCGTTATTTTTCAACTTTATAAGTTGAATTTGCATTTTTGACGCTTTGTTTCGGTAAGTCCATACCGAAAGGTATCAGAATCTGCAAAGTTGTGTTTTACGTTGCATGTGACCTTTAATAAAACTGTGAAAATGTAATCCTATGTAAAACATGTGTTGCAAATTTATCACTAGACGCACGCTCCATAAATGGGCGAACAATCTACAAGTAGGCACACACTCTGTCAATGGGTGCACTATCTATCACGAGACGCACTATCCTCCTGTGGGCACGCTCTGTCAACAGGTGCACTATCTATCAAGTCACACGCTCTGTCAATGGGCGCACTATCTATCACTAAACGCACTATCCTCCAGTGGACACGTTCTATTAAGAGGTAAACAATCTATCACTAGAAACACTACTCTATGAAGTTGTGTACTATCCGTCCCTATACGCCCTCTCAGTAGGCACTCTCCATCAAAAGGTAAACCATCTGTCATTAGACGGACTATCCTCCAGTGAAATGTAACTATCATAAATTGTAACTGTGAAATGTGACTAACAAATTGCCTGCCTTTAAATTTGATGCTATGATTTTTTCTGCTTTTAAATGACAATGTAATGAATATATGTTTTTGAAATAAAACTCATTCCGAGTACTTACAATGTTTATTAATGCAAACTTGTTCTCTTCACTATATGGCTGGAATAATGCCGATGTGACGCAAAACCCAACTCAACTCAACTCAACTCCAGTGGACATACAGTATCAAGACGTGCACTATGTATCAGTAGGCGCCAACTCTTTCAAGAGATCCACTATCTATTACTAGACACACTATCAGTAGACAACAGTCTATCAAGAGGTAAATTATGTATCACTAGAACACAGCTATTTAAATCTATCGCCAGCGGCGATAAACAAACATACTCACTAACGCTGTAAATCGACGGGCTCTCTATTGGAGCTTAAATGTATAAAATAGGCGTACATTCTATTAGTAGCGGCACAATCTACCAGGGGGGGCACAATCTACCAGCGGGGACACCACCTAACTACACGTGCACTGTCTCCTTGTAGGTGAAGAATCCATCAGTTCCATAGTGGGATCCATGATTGTAACATAAAACGGAAACCTCTGCTTCAAATTTGTATCAGTTGCCTTAGTAACAATAAAACACCTAAATATGACCAAACATGAAATCGCGAAAATGTGTTCTCCTCGATCCTTCAGAATTTGATGTTTATTAAAGCTGGTCAGCTCTTTGTACGTACCAAACTTATCGGACCCAAAATACCATCATTTGTACCTTGTTATGATTGTAACCGTTTATGAGTAGGCTTTCAAGATATGTTTCGTGTGCAATGAAATGGATATATCAAAAGTTTCTGAAATAAAAATATTTCAACTTTTTGTTGGAACTTTCAGCTTGTGATATACATAGTTACCTGTGAAGGTCCCTGTCAGAATGAAGTTTTAGCAACCAATGATTGTCGTAAGTGGCGACTAACGGGATCTGGAGGTCAGGCTCCTTTGGTTGACACATGTCATTGTATCCCACTTGCGTAGGTTGATGCTCTTGCTGTTGATCACTGGATTGTTTGGTTCAAATTCCATTATAGCTGGAATATTTCCAGTCTAAATAAACATAGGCTCAGTATTCTTCGTTACACTGCTATACTGAGTCTAAGAAAACCTTGTAGAAGGTCGCGTCAGCTAACCTTTGAGCGACCTTTGACCGTCCAATCAAACGCGAGACGGCCGAACTGATTTAACCAATCAGACAACGACTTCATGTTAGGGTTCGGCGGGACTTACAAAACGATTTTTGGATTTTCTCTTCCCTGGTCGCTGACACTGATCTATCAAACAACGAAAAACCGCATAAAACACAGATATTTCACCTGCAGTATATACGCTTATGGTTTTCTAATGACAAGGTTACTATTTGCTTATATTTTCGCAAGATGACATCCTTGAATATTGACAAAAACGCTATTTTCAGCGACTGTTTACTCATTGCGTGTATCACTCGGAAGCGATCGTGCGGAAAATAGCATTCGGAATCGTTCGATTTTTAGGTAAAGGTTCAAACGGTATGTGCGTATGTTAACTTTCGCGATTTGGTAAGCTGTGTTCTGATTGGTCAGTCCAAAAGGTTAGCTGACGCGACCTTGTACTAGGTTTTGTTAGACTCAATATAGCAGTGTAACGAATAATACTGAGCCCAAGTTTACTTAGACTGGAATATTTCTGAGTGCGGCGATAAACAACAATCCAACACACAAAACCTAAAGTTACAATCGTAAAATTCAGATGTCGTGATAATTTCAGATAATTTAACTAAAGAAAGATCATGTAATAAAATTATTCAAGATGAAGATCTGGATATTCCCAAACCACCATTATGTTCAAGAATGTGACTCATTTCACCTTTGAAAAATAACATATTCCGGCCAGAAGCTGGAGTTAATTTATTGTCTTTTAAACAAAATCGAGACATTTTTTATCCAATTAAAGGTCCTTTGTGTATAAGTGTCAAAAATGAAGGTTTAATTATGATTTATGACACGGAGTATTCATGTGAGAGTGGCGGATGTATACGAGGCAGCAGAAGTTGCTCTTAGGAAAACACTTTCTCGGATCGTATACCACGATTTCCCGGCATCCTCGCTGATAATGTGAGCAGTTCCGGTACTGGAAACTCCATACAGGGTGTGAGTTGCTGAGTCCTTCCCTACTATTACACCAACGATTGGATGGATTCCTGTGAATTAAAGTTACCAAGAAAACAAGTCAGAGTAAAATACTTTGATATTTAAGTAGGGACTGTCATATTGATGTTATGTTACCGTGCAAATAAAGGTAATTCATTTCCAAATTCAACTAGTTGCTCAACACGGTAACTACGGATAACCCAAGATAAATAAGCCAGTTGAGCTTTCTATGACAAGCCAGTAAGTATTTGATTGGTATCATGCAATTTAAAGAGATTTAGCTGAAAATTTGCTGATGCAATGAAAGATTAAATCACCCACGTACTCACGCACGCACGCTCGCTCGCTCGCTCGCTCGCACGCACGATATCCATATTTCAAATTTCGTTGTATCTTTGCTTATTCAGTCAATAAGTTGCTTATTCAAAAAGAACTGATAGTAATGAAAGTTGATTATTTCTAAATATAATTGACTTCAGTATTCACTCACTCTCTCACCTACCCACGCACTCACACATACAAGAAGGATGGGACGTCATTTTTCTGTCGCATCTTCAAGACATACAGTTTGGGAACTGTTTCAGTTCAGGATACCATTTTTGTTATTTGTTATACTTGACTAGTAATACTTTCCACTGTTATGTTGAACAAATCACGTGAAGAAAATAGTTAGTCGACTACCTCTGAAGCCGTCAGCTGACTGCTTGAAGCACGATGTCTGGGAGTTTGGTTGGCGGCTGAAAATAGTATCGTTATTTATGTTATTGCTGTTGTTGTTGTTGTTGTATATCTCATCTAAACAAGACATATACAAGTTAGTATAGCTGGACATTTTTTTTGCAGTGATGCTTACTTTCTTAAGAATGATGAAAAATACATCACATTGAGTTTTCTGCCCCATGACAGTTTTGACGTACACGTACAGTCTACTGCAGATGAGGCACACCGTTTACTACCCCCACGTGACGTCCAGATTATTTCCCCAACGTAACGTTACTCGTATGTCATTTAGTCTACTGCGTGTGACGTACCCGGTCCACAGCATGTGACGTACGTTGTCTACTGCGTGTGACGTACCCTGTCTACTGCGTGTGACGTAACACAGCATGTAACGTACGTTGTCTACTGCGTGACGTACCGGTCCACAGCATGTGACGTACGCTGTCTACTGCGTGTGACGTACCCGGTCTACAGCATGTGTGTACGTACTGCGGTGACAACTCGGTCCACAGCATGTGACGTACGTTGTCTACTGCGTGTGACGTACCCGGTCTACAGCATGTGACGTACGTTGTCTACTGCGTGTGACGTACCCGGTCCACAGTATGTGACGTACGCTGTCTACTGCGTGTGACGTACCCGGTCCACAGCATGTGACGTACGTTGTCTACTGCAGGGTAATGTGACGTCTGCGGTCAACTGCATCTGACGAACTGAGTCTACTGTCGTTTGACGTACTCAGTCTACTGCTGTAATGCACTCTATGTAAGTCAAGTGACATTCTGTATCTGTTGCATGCAACGTACGGTGTGTATTGCATGTAACATTCTGCTCATGACATACTCCATGTGACGTATGTGGTTAATGCATGTGACATACTCGTCTACTACGTATCCTACTCTATGTGACGTACTACGTCTACTACGTATCCTACTGCTTGTGACGTACCTGTATTTCTGACTGGCGTCACACTCGTAGCTCTCCCCACTGACACCATTAACATAGCTCCGTTTAGTGAATCCTGAAAAACACGTGACAAATATGTATGTGGCACTTCACTAGTGCCCTCTGGTATTTATTATGTCCATAAATATACACCACACATAATCGCCAAGCAGAAAATGTAGAAAATCGTCAATAACCCCAATACGAATCTGTACCTCACTGATACAAAGTAATTATTGAACGATGACTCAGGACCAAAAGTGTACAATACATCACCCACAGACTGAATGTCATCACATCACGATCCCTAAAGAACAACTGTCATCAATCTAACCCCTCATCTACACTACCAGCCCACAAGGTCTCATAACGCCCAGACACCAGCAATCCCTCTGTCACTAAATCACGTTCAAGCCCAGGGATAACAATTAGAGTCAATACGGCTCCAGAACTCCGAGCCGATACGATCAAAAATACAAAACAAGCACCTATTAACAAATCAGCAAAAAATACTTTCTTGACTAATTCAACTAATAAGGGGCCGGGACGGGTGGTGGCGTGACGGGCCCTGAGATTAGGCTCCTGGGACGCTATCATTGCTGCCCCCCCTTCCCCGAGCCCCTTTTCTGTATCATCTTATGTCCCCAAAACACGTAACATATTTTCGTGACAACATATATTTAAGTTTTTAAAAGACTTCACGAAATATGATGGGAATGAAACTAAAAGCAGGAAGCATGTGCAAATTGTAACAATCATTAGCTGTGAGAATTAGGAGACAGAGTCTGTAGACTTGTTCAGCTTTTACCAAATTACTGAACAGTGGCACCAACACACAGCGGTCACAAAAGGTACGGATCTGAAAGCCCATCTCGCATACGTACGTGGCGGTGAGGTAGCATAGTGGTTAAAGCGTCCGCTCGTCACGCTGAAGGACCGGGTTCGATTCCCCACAATGGGTACAATGAGTAAAACCCGTTTCTGGTGTCCCCCGCAGTGAAATTACTGCAATATTGCTAAAAGCTGCGTAAAACCATACTCACCAGCCAAGATTTGTCTGGGACAATAGTAAGAGTGAACCTGCGACACGTACGTGCCTACTGTGTACTGGGGTCTGGTTACGTCACTTCACGTATATTTCCAGCCAGTTAGTTGCGCCTGTTATTTCTGTACGCGTATCATATTCCTGACTCCTAAACAATATTTATTTGTCTGCAATTGGACATTTTCAGCTCGATCGACATGAAATCTTTCGCTATTGCTACCGCAGCAAAGAGTCAACTTTCCACTTTCCACTCTGAAACTATCACGTATTCTGAACGTCTGATCGAGAGCAGATATTCTGCGAGGCATGTTTTGTGACATAATCACGTAAAAGAGAGACAAAAAACTTGATCGAGAAGACTCCAGATTGATCAGAAAAGCGATAGTTGCACAATTCCGCCCAATGGTTTTCATCAGGAGAGAAGTGCGACAGCTTGGCGCTCTTCTTTGTAAAAACTATCCCCAATTGTGCGGAACAGCGAGATAGTTTGTTTTCTGCTTCGTGTTTATTGTGTTGAAATTGTCGAAAAACCGGTCCAATTCGCAGTGCTTATATCCGAAACAGTTCCACGTCCAGATATTGGCTGTCCTTTTCAATATGACCCAGTGCAAAGCGATTGATCGACAGACATAATGGCAACAGCTCCTCACATCACCACTAGGAGCCGCCACCAAACCGTTTACCTCTGTTGACCCAAAGAAAAATATACAATGAAAATAATTAAAGCAAAAAGGCAGATAATTTGCAGCAAGATCTAACAAAACCAAGGCGCACAAATGAGAAATCGGAGAACTTGTTTCTAAAGAAATTATTTTTTTCCATACAATTGGGACAACGGGAAGAATTTGGAAAAACGGTTTAATTTCCCAGAACTTGATAAAAGAAACTGAAATTCGAACTAGTTTCGTGGATTAGGAAGGAATTTCTGTTTTTCATCTCGCCATTAAAGTCATAAAGTTGTTAATATCGGTATGTCCTGTTGAAAATAAACTGAATAGACAAATCTCCCTGTCAAAGAGAGCACGTTTAATCAGATTTACTCCAAAGGTTGTAGATTAAAGTATTTATTCAGAATGACCTGAACGTACAATATCCGTAAGCGTACGTGATATGTTGTTAATCATACTACTTTAATTGTTATCCGGCCCCAAGTCGAATCAACAACGAGTAAAACGTAATTTTACGAGGATTTCAGCCTGACGCAAAGAAAACATGAAGAGGAAGGCTTTAGGCTTTGGTGTTGATGTGAGCTACAGTGCCTATGACTCAGACCAACCGATACTGATTAAAAGCGTGTGGATTTGATTCGAACGTACAGGCAGAACAGCCTGCACTATCTACTTTTAGTGTGCTACATCTTCGTTGGTCGGTGGCGGTAGGGTAGCTTAGTGGTTAAAGCGTTCGCTCGTCACACCGAAAGCCCGGGTTCGATTGCCCACATGGGTACAATGCATGAACCCCATTTCTGGTGTCCCCCGCCGTGATGCTGCTGGAATATTGCTAAAACCATACACCCTCACTCACACATTCATTGGTCGGCTAGTTTAGTATGCGAGGTTAAATGCGTTTTTTATGTGAAACGATGCATTCAGCAACATTGCAGTTGTAGGACATCTTTCTTTAAATAATCTGAATTAATCCGAACCAGACAATCCAGGGATTGGAATGGCGAATATCCTATCTCGTAAAAGAAATGTACAGCGCACACCCTTGTCCACATCCATACTACAAAACCCACCACCGAATTGAGTGAGTGAATTTAGTTTTACGCCGCACTCAGCAATATTACAGCTATATGGCAGCGGTCTGTAAATAATCCAGTCTGCACCAGACAATCCAGTGATCAACAGCATGAGCATCGATCTGCACAATTAGGAACCGATGACACGTGTCAACCAAGTCAGTGAGCCTGACCACCCGATCCCGTTAGTCGCCACTTACGACAAGCATGGGTTACTGAAGGCACATTCTAACCCGGACCTTCACGGGTCACCACCGAATTGAGTGAGTGAGTTTAGTTTTACGACGCACTCAGCAATATTCCAGCTATATGGCGGTACCACCGAATTAAAACTGTAGTTATCCAACAGTTAACTAACAAGCCTTGAATGGTAGTAGGGTAGCCTACTGGTTGGTGCGATCGCTAAAGACGATGCCTCACATGTGAAACTGGTTTTATGGTGTCCCCGGTCGTGATAACACTGTACCATTGCTAAAAGCGATGTAAAATTATACCCACTCACCTACCAACCCACTCACTCATTCTGCGTCATACCAATGGAACTTTGAAAACCATCACAAAACATGAATCACGTCCATCTGGACACGTACCCTGAACCCGTGAAGATCAGAGATAGAACTAATCTTCTGCAACATGTGCTTGTCGTAAGAGACGACTAACGGGATCAGGTGGTCAGGCTCGCTGTCTTGGTTGATACATGTCATCGTATCCCGTGTAGATCGATGCTCTTGATGTCAGTCACAGGACTGTCTGGTCCAGACTTGATTATTTACAGACTTCCGTCATATAGCTGGAATATTGGTGAGTGCGGCGGTAAACAACAAACAAATAAACAAACAAACAAACGTACCCTTAGTGGACCTGGAGCAGAGCCACAGCCGGTCAGCAGGCACACACAGAAAAGGGTTGACCTCTCCACACTGGACGACGTTGACGGAGTCGTGGTCGATGCAGCAGCCGCAATCCGTCCTGTTGGAGTCGAACGCGCACGTGCACGTAGCGCCATCTGTCCAGGTGTATCGTTCAGCTGGGGAGGAAGTTATATGCAATATAACACTCTGAAGCTATCGTGAGAACCAGATAGTGTTGCCATACAATTTCTGTCCATGACACCGCAAATCGAATTCAGGTGAGGTGAGGGTGAGGTGAGGTGAAATGGGGTTTAACGTCGTACTTAAGAATATTTCGCCCATATGACGACGTGCATGTGTGTGTATGTGCGGCTGCTTGTACTAGCCCATAATTAAGCTGGTTTTATAGTGCTTGCTCACTGAGATACCATGCCGCAGTGAAGCATGAATACCCCACATCATACTGACTCCGAGCCGACCAGTCCTTGTTGTACCCATTAATGCCGAGCGCCAGACAGGGACCAACAAGTACCATATTTTAACGTCTTTTGGTATGACGCGGCCGGGGATCGAATCCGCGACCTTCCGCTCTCCGGGCGGACGCTCTAACCACTACACCACGGAGGCGGTACTCGAATTCAGAGAAGGATAATATGTTTACGCTTTTAATGTACAATCGGTTATTATGCATAATACCTGAAATGCTGTTGTGAGATATTGATCTTTAGGCCTGAAAATGTGCCTTTGGACGGAATTAATATTAAGAGTAAAGAAATTTGTGAAGAGAGAGTGCCCATTTGTAATTAAAATGAAATGAACTTAGTATAACCACGTGATTAATGAAAGTTAGTTATAACATTCATAAAAATTACAAAAATATATGTATACACAGTACTATTTGGAAACAAGTCAAGTGTATCATATGTAATATTCGGGATTAGAGTTTCTCAGCGGCTGAGTGGGTTAGATGGCTGACTTTGTGTGCTCACTCTGACAATGAGGGTTCGAATCCCGGATGGTACTTGGAGCACAAAAACCTCGTTAAACTGAGTTAATTCATGTTTTGAATAATAAAGACATTGTGTGATTAAGACGAGCTGTTGAAGCGTAGATATTCGATTTGATGGTGTAAAGTAAATAGAACCGGATTATCACAGTCATTGACAAAGGATTTAGTCTTAAAAGTGTTTGAATCCTAGCTCGGAATTAACTCGAAGACATCAGTGTGTAAGGTACTCGAGACGGATTTGTGTTGGTGTATTTCACGCAAAAGGTGACAATACAGTGATCAACATCATAAGCATCTACGCAATTGGGATATGATGACGTGTCAACCAAGTCAACGAGCCTGACCACCCGATCCCGTCGACCCGTGAAGATCCGGGGTAGAATAGGTCTTCAGCAACCCATGTGCTTGCCATAAAAAGGCGACTATCTTGTCGTAAGAGGCGACTAACGGGATCGGGTGGTCAGTTTCGCTGACTTGGTTGACACATGTCATCGGTTCCCAATTGCGCAGATCGATGCTCATGCTGTTGATCACTGGATTGTCTGGTGCAGACTGGATTATTTACAGACCGCCGCCATATAGCTGGAATATTGCTGAGTGCGGCGTAAAACTAAACTCACTCACTCACCCCGATCCCGTCAGTCACCTGTTACCACAAGCATGGGTTGCTGAAGACAAATTCTAACCCGGATCTTTACGGGTTAACAATGAAAAAAGTACTTCACGTCTACATCATTAGCAGAATCAGTAAAATAGACAGAAATGAATAATCCTCAAGGCTTTATCGACCTTCCTAATAGTGTCAAGGAATGACACTCAGAACACGTGTGTTGTGCTGCAGCGTGTTTCACGTGCTAACTATTTGATATGGTTTGGTGTTTTGTTTTGCAGACATTAACAATCTTGCACAGGATGTCTGTCGTCAACCACTATCCTTATTTTATACCTGGTGGAAAGAATTCCAGGTCATGATTCCCTACCTTTTAAACAACACACATCAGGCGGGTTACGGACATGGGCCTAGATTTTCGAAGCTCTCTTAGCGATGCCATGCATTACCATTAACTTACGACTATCTTAGCGCTAAGAGAGCTTCGAAAATCTAGGCCATGGACAACTTCAAACGCGTAGGACCTGTGTCGCTTCTATTTGCCACAAAGATGACTCGCTGTCATATGAAGACTTGCCAAAACTTAAAATTCCAAGCGGAAGTGTAGAGATTATAAATAATGACTCATTATATCACATATATTAGGCGGATACCAATTAAATGCTCTTCAAAGTCGCAAACGTCTAGGATCTGTGTCTCTTCCCTTTGTCACAAAGCTGACTCGCTGCCATTATGGAGACTAACCATGACTAGAAATTCCAAGCGGGATTGTTGACATTGTAAATAACTACTCATTATATCAAATAAGTAAGGTCTGGCTTTCTGCAGTACACAGCATTTGTCAAACTAATTACACGACACATGTTTTCCTTTCCGACCAAAACCGCCATATTGCCACCGCGCGTGTACTCCTTGCAGCCTCTTTTGAATGTTCACAATAACAAAGGCTCCACGCACCGCATTTCTTGTTGAGTTTGACGCTCAAATACTCCATAGGCGCGACCGTATCGACACCTCGGTCCCAACGGTCGTTGAAGTTTGTGATTTGAACGGGCATGGTGTAGTGGCTGGCGTCACGGACGTTGCTCCCATTCATCTGCACGCTCATCTGCAGCACTATTAGGGCGGGATCGCTGAACGTCAAACGACCAAGCTGAAATAGGATTTAAAATTTAGTATCGAACTCCGATATTATAATTTTGTTTAGAAAACCGGAAAATATCATCAAAAGAGTGAACTGTGATGACGGTTTTGTGACAATCAAATCGAAACCAAATAAATCAATTGTATTTTACGCCGCTGTGATTAGTTTAGTGAACCTAAAACGATGGTGGTGTCCTATGCTGAAATGTGGATAAACCTTTTCCGACATTTGTTTGTTTTGTTTTTTGTTAAACGCCAACTTCATGAAGGCAGTATTCTAGCTATATGACAGCTGTCTGTATAGGGGCGGTGGGGTAGCCAAGTGGTTAAAGCGTTGGCTCGTCACGCCGAAGACCCGGGTTCGAATCCCCACATGGGTACAATGTGTGAAGCCCATTTCTGGTGTCCCCCGCCGTGATGTTGCTGGAATATTGCTAAAAGCGGCGTAAAACCAAACTCGCTCGCTGTCTGTATATAATCGAACATGCATCAGACAGTTAAGTCGTTGACAACATGGACATCGGTCTACGTATTATGGATACAAATGTCGAAAATGCTGCATCTACATACTTTTTCAGAAAAGGAGGTGAGGTGAGGTGAAATTGGGTTTAACGTCGTACTTGAGAATATTTCGCTCATATGACGACGTGCATGCGTGTGTATGTGTATGTGCGGCTGCTTGTACTAGCCCAGACTGAAGCTGGTTTTATTGTGCTAGCCCACTGAGATACCATGCCGCAGTGAGGCATGAATACCCCACTCAGACACATTCTACTGACTCCGAGACGACCAGTCCTTGTTGTACCCATTAATGCCGAGCGCCAGGCAGGGACCAACAAGTACCATATTTTAACGTCTTTTGGTATGACACGGTCGGGGATCGAACCCGCGACCTTCCGCTCTCCGGGCGGACGCTCTAACCACTACACCACGGAGGCGGTCTTCAGAAAAGGACCCCACCATCGTTTTAGGTCACACGTTGTCGACGATGCAACGTGGTATAACGTCTGTGCAACGTGATATAACGTATGTGCAACGTGGTATAACACCTTTGCAACATGGTACGTCTGTGCAACGTGATATAACGTCTGTGCAACGTGGTATAACACCTTTGCAACATGGTACAACGTATATGCAACTTGGTATAACGTCTGTGCAACGTGGTATAATGTCTTCGAAACGTGGTATAACACCTTTGAAGCGTGACATAGCGTCTTCGCAACTAGAATATGAAGTAAACTCAAGTAAACTGAAATCCAGTATGCTCAATTACACTCACCGTTATTCGGATATACGGGCCCGTATCGATCACTTGGTAGGTGTAGTCGCGCGGGAAGGACCCGGACACCCCGCGCAACGTCATGGACGGCAGGGGGAAGACAATGGCCTCAATGTCGTACGCCGTTGCGTTGGATTTCACACCGTGGGAGATGGACACATGCAAATCAACGTAGTTTCTGGTGAAATTTGTAAAAGTTAATGACAGAGGGTATTTTACGGTTAAAACCACGTTAAAAAGAATGAGGTTAATTGGGTTCGGATTGACGAGAGTTAAAGATTGTGTGAAGGAATATAGTCTAACACCGTTATAAACAGTACTCCAGTTATATCGAAGGATAAAATTTGTGAGTGAGTTTAGCTTGACGCCTCTTTTAGCAATATTCCAGCAATGTCATGGCGGGGGGAATACAGAAATGGGCTTCACAGACTGTACCGGGTCCTCGACGAGCATTAGAATACAAGACCGCCCCGGATGATAGAAGAGCGCTAACTAGCGCAGGTCTTAGATGCTTTTGTCTTTGGTAACACCCACAAGCATTGGTGCTGTCAACCCTGGAAACCTGAATCAGGGCCAACACCAACAATCAAAGGTTGAACGGTACATATCCTGGCCCTGTCCATACGCAGCTCCCTAAAACCTGTTAGCGTTATGGGAATGATACTAACACATTACTCACCTGAAAATCCTGTTCATTTGATATTCATTTGAAAATCTATTTTCATTCCCTTTCACCCAAAACATGAACAGTTTGCTGGTCATTTCGGATGTCTTGACAAGGTATGTGCTGTGAAATATTACCCAGCTCCCAAATTCATAGCAATTATGTTTTTAAAGAATAAAAGGATATCATTTCTCTACGTTCAGGACCCGGGATTCTTAATGACATGTCAAATTTGATTAATTGATTAAAGATAAGTAATACGTGTCTTGTCCAGTACAGGCCGCAGAGGTCGTGAGATGAAGGTCAAGGTCAGGACGTCTGGTGTCGACGTCAGGAGCTTCAACGGTCAGGCTCATTTTGGACACCATGATCATGCTGTTCCCAAACTTGACGCCAGCGCCGACCGTCAACACGTCGCCGTCAGACATATTTGCGTAGTCCTCCAATCGAAGTACGAATCTCA